AGAAACAAAAGCTGCTTTCGTCACCATTAGGTATTTTTAAACCTTGTGTCCTGGTCTGAAGTGCAAGGGCGTAGTGGGAGCACACATCCAGCCCCTTCTGGGGTTGGGTTTTACCAGCTTCCTCCAGAACATGGGGGCAGATGTCCCAGCTCCTCAGAACTGGCAAAGCATGTGGCAGAGCAAAGGCACCAGGAAATAAAAGTGCTTGCAGCAGCAACCCAGGGATGAGGAGAGATTTGAAACCAGAATTACTGAAAGGAAGATTAATGAAGACTCTGGATTCACTGCAAACTCCTTGAGAAGCAGGAAAAGCATTAGGAGCACACTGGGACTTTGTCATAGCAGCCCCTTGCTGCTGTGTTTTGGGTTTGCGACTAACAGTGTTGATAACACGCGAGTGTTCGGGCTGTTGCTGAGCAGTACTTGCACAATGTCAAGGCTTTCTCTTTTCCCCTCTGTGAGGTGGCTGTGGGTGGACAAGATGCTGGAAGGGGACAGCGCGTAGGAGGTGCTGAGCGCCTTGACATCACTGGGATTCTTCATCTTCCCTTCACTAATTAAACCATCTTCATCTCTACCCACGAGTTTTCTCACTTTTGTGCTTCCTGTCACGCAGGAGGGACAGGGGATGCGTGAACCTGAGGGGCTGGGCAAGGTCAACCCACCACGAGGATCAAACGTTCAGCCTAGGGCTGGATCTGCTGTCACTGCCAAGGTCTGGAATACCCCTTATTGCAGTATCTGGCATTGAAAACATTTCTCCCATCCAGCCCAAGAACTATACACATTTATTATAGTCCATGTGACTAATATAGTCCAAAGAGAAGCTTCAGATAAAAAAAACCAATCTGTAAAATGCAATGGATAAAATTATCCAAACATTAATATTACAAAATACCAGCAAAACCACTGGTAGGGCTTCTGGAAACACAGAGGGCTTCCTAGAAAACCAGACGAACACTCAGTTTGCTTACAGAAAGCTACTGCTAACAGTCAGCAAGTCCATCTGTGTCGGCAGATTTCCAAGGAAACCCAAGCTCCCAAAACGTCTTGGAGAAGGGTCCATGAAGAAGTCAGACACTTCACTGTGCTACTGGTGGCCACTTTTGGGCTAGATCATCATGCAAGGCTTCGGGGATCCACTGACGATAGGCTGTGAGCAAATCTGGAAGGAGAGAGGGGAGCAATTACATGGCTGCGGAGTACAGGGACTGGAGTGGTTCTGCTGGAAAGACGAAGTCCTGCAGCATCACAGGCTGACAGCAAGAACCAACCTTCTATCACTGCTGCAGCTTGGGGACCTGCATGCAGATATAGAAGTGCCAAGTGTGGGAGAATGACTGTGAAAGCCATCACCGCATCACTTTGCTGCTGCTTCCATGAAGAACTCTCACAATCTGTACCCTAAAACTGAACAAAATCCATTTTACCTGGAAGAACCTTTCCCTGCACCCACTGACAGTGCCATCAGAGTGTGATTCTTCAGAAGCACAAACCAAACACTCTAACTGTTGTTGGAACTACAGGGAAAAAATCATCTTAAAACGATGTACTTTCTGAAGTACAAGCCACTCCAGTCCTTCACCAGAACCATGACACACAGCATTGCTGATTCTGGTAAGAAAACAGCAAATATTTGGAGATTATCAAGTGAGATCATCCATTTTTTTAGTTATAATTCAACAGTGTTGGTGGCACTACAAAACCTGCACTGATATGACCAGTAATTAAGCAAGCAGAACACTTACATTTAGGATTTCTCTTCCATGCAGCCAGTAAAGCACCACGATTATCACAGTTTTCTGCCACTAGAGCCTGCAGGAGGGCTTCTGTCCTGGGCTGAAGTCTACCAAAATAAAACAGTACATTAAAACAAAGTTCATTAGCACAGTTCAGCAAAGTATTCCAGCATTCAGCTTACCTTTCTGAATTCATACTCCTAGTGGTTTTTAAAGGGCTAAATATAGTTACAGAAACACAAATTTCACTAGAAATAAGTTTATTCCCCCTACTACAACTTTCTGTTGTTAAATAGAGCAGCAGGTTGCTCTTCTTCCTGGCAGCATGCAGCTGCATAGCACATGGGGGAGCAAAAAGGAACCAACAGGTCCCATGCTGCACTCGGAACTGACTACACGAGGGAATAACTTTGCAATTGTAGGAGCCTCGGATGAGATGAGTCACTTTTAAGAAAGTCTTTCCCAATCTTTGTATCTCTCAGCCCCATCACAACTCAGAGAAAGCTCATTTTGGTAAGGAAGAGAGCTTTCACAAGGGGGACACAGGGGAAACAATAGCTGACAGTTCTTTCGAGGCTCACTGTTCTGTAAATGTCCTCAAGAAAAATATGGTCTGTCGGCAACATGTCTCTGGAAAGAGATAAACCCAATGTTAATTGGCCAAAGCACAAAGAAAAGCAAGGAAAGCAGTTGTGTCCATCAGTTTCTTACTGTGAGCAATTTATGTGCGTGAAGCAGCCCACAGAGGTCAGTGTGACCAGCAGGTTGTGTGTGCTCTTCCACACTGCCCTCACAACCACCCAGCTCTCTTGAGACATAGTTTTTCTTGGTAAGAAAACTCATTTTCCTCTCCTGCAGCTGCAGCCAAGATCCCTATCGAGGACACCCCTCCCAGCATTCATTTTCTTTCATTCTAAAGGAAGTTAAACGTGTTTGGTGGAGCCAAACTTAACTTTATCAACTTACTTGGCCCACGTCTTCAGCATTATGAGGGGACTGGACAGCAGACACTGGCTATAAGACTTCAACTTCTTAATAACCTGGAAGATTCGTTATAACAAGTACATAATGAACATGGTAAATTAATTGTTCTGTGGAAACAACCATTAATGAACTTGTACAACTATAGACATCCATCCCATATTCTCTATTACCATCTCTCTCCCATCCATACCACCATACAAATCTTGTCCTGGCTTGCTAGGTGACCCTTGAGTCTCAGAATGGACAAAGACAGGAGCTATAGCTTTTTTCCTCTGAAAACCAGGACTTAAATTTGTGAGTCTCTTTCACCCAGATGGTGATTTTCATGCTGCTTTATATTTTAAGGATATCTTCCCCATTCCACAACTGCACCAAACTCCTGCAGCCGCCAGCAAGTTATGAAGAATGGGCATGCAGACAAAGAAACAAGTCACAAGGGTCATCATCTCCAAAAACTGGGCTAAAAACTTACTGATTACACCAAGGAAGCAGGTGGAACATGCTCACCTTCCCTTCAAGCAGGAACCTGGCAAAGTATTTGTAACGATCGATACCTTCTGGGTAATCGACTTCCACAGCAGGGAGCTCCCAGCTAACTCGGTCTGGAAAGAAGGATCACACTGAGTCCCTTAAATGCTCAAAAAGGAGGGTCCCTAGCCAAGGGAGATGTGCAACAAAGATGCTAAGTGGGGAGGGTACTGCCACCACCCAGCCAGCATTGCTCCCTCACAGGGGCGGCAGATGGGCACAAAATGCCCATACCAACGGGGAGATGCTGATATTTAGATGCTACGAATCCCATGGAGTTACTCAAACCATGGTTAAGCTCTCTGACCAGTCCAAGCTGGGCTTGACCTTTCTGGTCTGCTGAGAGTCTTGCTAAAAGCAGCATCACAATAACTACATATACTATATATAACTATATAGAACTACTGAATGACACTTCTCAAGGCACTTACGAAAGACACTTGGTCTGTGACACCGAACTCGGCCTGTTTCAGGGCAGTAAGATGGAGGAGGATTTTCCAGAGGCTTCCCAAAGTGGCAGTACGGTGGCAACAGAGCTGGAATCCACTCAGGCTCGACTGCAGACACACCTTAGGAAGGGAAAACACACACCTGAATGCAGGCTTGCTGCCAAGGGCCACCACTCACTGAGTGAATACAGTGCATCGCAGAATCTCATCTTCACACATTCACTTGGATCTCATTTTTCAAGTCAACTCTTTATTGTCCTTGTTCAGACACCATCAATAGGGAGCTACTGCTGACAGGGCTGGAGCAGAGCAGCTATTTCAGAAGCTGAACTTTGCTCCAGCCAGTTCCGCTGGACAAAGAATAAACCAGGCCAATTTATCTCCTGATCCAGACCTAGAAACCATAAGGATCCAAATCCCCAGAGGCATGACCACTGTGTAAGCAGAATGCCTCAAGGGAAACATTCTGCCTAAGGCACTTCTGAATTCCTCCCCACACCTGCAGAACAAGCAGGGACTGCAGCAGCCTCACCTTTCATGTACAGCTTTGTAGTCTCAACAATTTCCTGATACACCACGAACTCTGGGAGCTGTTTGAAGAGGACTGAGCTTGGATGGATGAACACGGGGTCTTCCAGGAGAGCAGTCTTTAAGAAAGCACAAGAAGATTGAAGCAGAATAAGATGAGTTACTGGCAATCCAATTTCTTGATTGCATCCAATTTTAGTCTCTCTTAGATGTACCTTTATACAGTTTCCTTAAGTGATGGAGGATTTTAACAACCCCATCATTTTCTACATCACCTTCTCAGGAGACATCAAGCACTTTGCACGTCAGACTAATGCTAATTCTTGGCTCTATAACAATTCCTACCTGAGGACCGGGAAATTGCAACACTGGAAACTTAGATTCCATGAGTGGCTGTAGAAAGCCAGCACATGCAGCCCCATTGCTGTATGCAGCCATAAGCCCAGGAGTGTCTTTCTACCACACAGGGGAAGAGGAATTCAGTCAATTCAAGCTATTTACCTTATAGGCATTTTTCCACTTGTCATCCAGGAGCTCTTCTGCCTGAACCCTTCGGGCAACGTGATCCCCTAGCCCAGCCAGGACAATCTGTCTCAAGTAAGTTGCTTGAGCTTCTGTTGGGGGCTTCATCTTTGGATCAACAAAGAGACCAGCATCAGTGCAGACTGAGTTCACTGTGGGGGGGAGGAAAGAGGAGTTAAGATTCAATAGCAAACTAAAGGTTGCAACAAACAGCCCCGTTGATTTGTCACCCCTCAAAAGAGAATAAACAAGGTGGCTCCTCTCAAACCCCTTTACCTGCTGTTGTCAGCTGTCCTCTCAAGCGCCGGATTTCCAGCATGGCTTTGTATCGGAGCCCATTTTCTTCACAGAATTTCCGGGTGCACCCAGCGTACTCACAGGCCCCCACTGCTCCTGGAAGTGAAGTCAGGGGGAGAAATTACTTAGACAATCAGTTCTGCAAAGGAAACCAACTGTGGGACAGTGGTGTCATAGTCAACACATGCGTATCACAGTTCCCATTTGTCATTAGCCTGGGACACTGGCAGAATGCCCAGAGAACAGTCCAGAATATGTACTGCTGGGCTCAGTCCTGCAGCATGAGGCTGCCTTTGCTTGTATAAAGCTAAGAGGGAGGAGGACAGAACGGCAGTTAACAGTACAGGGAAGTCACTGCAATACCTAACATCACCATCAGGTCTCCAAGCTTTTGCATGGGCCCCTGCCCAGCCCAGATCCTTTGCATCTGTAAAAACCTGGCTTTCTTCCCCTTCAGCTTTGCTGCCTCTTCCTCACTTACTGCTGGCCTAAAAGAAACACAAAACAGCATAAATGAACATTGTGCTTAGGTGCAGAAGGGCCTCAACGTAAGAGAGACATCAGCTGTGACAAGTGATGTCAGGTTAAGTCACTCACCTGTCTAACTCCTCAAAAAGCTCCCGCACAGTCATTGCAGACACTATGGTGATGGTGTAGGGCAGGCAGTCCTGCTGCCTGCTCAATGCCAACATCTTTGCATAGCGGGGGGCAACAGGAAATGTGGCCATTATTCTCCCCAGGGGACTAACAGGGCAACTCAGCTTTGCTGCCAGCTGCTGCTTCAGCCTGGGGGAGGAAAAGTGATGTAATGTAGTGACTTCTGCATTAGAATGAGTTTCTGTTTCTGGTTTTAGAAGCCCCATTCATTTCATGTGTTTTCTCTGATTTTGTTATGTGCTGGTCCCAAAGGCTGGGGGAAAGATTCCTTTTCCTCATGCAGCTCCCCCTTGCCCTGAATGGCACACTGCTAGCACAGTCTTTCTGTGCCCAAACACACCCAGGGACCAATAAAACACACAAAGGTAAACCTGAGACTGTTAAAATGCTGACAGTCTCTGCCAGCACATCCTCAAATGCATGGCTGAGATGGAAAACTGGCGGGAGGACAGCAGTGCCACTGCCTTGATAGTGGAGTCTGTGCAGCAGCACTAAGAGGGAATTCGTGGGGGACCACAGATGTTACCTTCCTGTCATAGGGGGTTCCTTCAAGGCACCCAGGGCTATCAGCAACTCCTCAGCTGCTGCAAGTGCTTCTGTTGGAGGTGGTGTTGGGAATGGGAAGTTGATTACCTATGGACAGTGAGGGAAAATACTTCTCAGTACATCACTGATATAGCTCCCACTGAAAAACAGAGTCTGAATGCAGTAAGAAGTCCTGGAAGGGAACAGAACCCTTCCCTCTGGATACACACCACATAAAAACAGTTAGGATGTTTGCCAGGAGCAAGAGGAAAGGACATATAATGGGAGGAAATGCTTGGAACAAAAACATTAGGAAACAGGAATACCAGTGTCACCCTGAGCTGCCACTGACTGACTCCAGGCACCGCCTAGGGTGGGCTGCTTTAAGGTCTGACTCGTAAGTATTGTGCTTTCTGAGAGTGCTCAAGTACCTCCAAAACACAACCCCTGTTTGGACAGGGCTTTTTTGCTACTAAAAATATAAGAAAGCTCTTATGACCTGAACAAACACATCTGTTAAGGCCCGGTAGAATTCATACAGGCTTCTGTGATTCACAGAACCAAAATCAAGTCCCAGCATCCTAATTCCTAACACAAGGCACAGCCTCAAGCGACGATGATAACAGACATTTTGTGACTCCGGCTCCAAGGGGCAGCCACTTTAATGAGCACTGTAGTACAAAGGAAATTTACACCTCACCTTTTCTATATTTAATGCCTTCATCTGCAGAATCAAGTCTTCTACCGGTCGCTTTATTATTTCCGGAGCAGAAAATTTCTCAAAGTCCATGAAGACTGCTGAGGAGTATAACCTAGTGAACCAGAAATGCTGCTTAGAGACTTAGAATAAATCTTAACTCAAAAGATATGCAAGGGATTTATAAAACAGGCAGCTGTGGGTGCTATTTAGATAACCATGTAATTATTTCCATGGTTGGGGCATACTGCATTAGTCACAAAAAGGTGACTTGGCTTGGAGTGGGATCCATGCTGTTTTGGCCACCACAATGAGTTTTCAGCAAAAGAAAGGCCCCCAAGAAGTCAAACTGTCAAACCAACATCACCAGTGACAGTCCACGTTTGGCTTCACCTCTCCTATTTGAATGAAGAGCAGACAAAACCAACGGGTTTCAAGCATCACTAGGTCCTTGTGAAAGGGGCAGCAGGACGAGAGAAGCCACACAATTCACACTGCCACTCACTGGGCTTCTTGATCCTGCTAACCCTCTCCCCAGCAGGCAGCTAACCTGTAACAGTGCCCTGGCTCCGTCCGGCCAGCCCGGCCTGCCCGCTGGTTGGCTGAAGCCTGAGATATCCAAGTGATTCTGAAAGATGAAACCCCAGTAATTTTGTCATAGAAACGTTTCTTGACCTTTCCACAATCAACCACGTATTTGATGCCTGGGATGGTAAGAGATGTTTCAGCCACGTTGGTGGCGACAACACACAGTCTCGTGCCAGGAGGAGGAGGCCTGAATACCTACAAGAAACAGATGGGCATGTGAAATGCACAGCCAACAACAGAAAGAGACAGGCAGTCAACCTGGATGGGTTGCAAAGGGATGACCAAGCATATGGCATTGCAGGTGAAACCCAAGAGGGAGACCAAAGACTTAACACTTTGTCTCCAGCTCCGGAGCGTTCTATCCAGCTCATTTAATCCCTCAGAAACACCCACAGGGCCTCCAGGTGGAGCAGACACCAGTGCAGAGCTGTATTTAGACATACTCCAAAACTCAAGAGGAAATGTAAGAGTAACTGCCTGTTGGCAATGGGATCTAATTTGGACTCACTTTACCATGCTGCAGGACTGTCACTCTTTATCTCTCCCAACCTGCTGAACTGGCACATAAAGGAGATCCCAGCCCAAGCAAGGCCAGCTCTGATCCCATCCCAACTCACCCACTGGGACATTCAAGTCCGCCCAGTGATGGCAGTCCAAAATGCACATTGTAACTCACAAAGCATATGTGACTTTAGACAACAATCACACATATCTATAAGGATCATTTACTTATTATGACAACAAATTCTTTACCTTTGCTTGTTTCTCTGGTGCTAGCAAAGAATAGAGTGGGAGCACATAGAGTGGAA